TTATAGGCCTACGACCAATGCTTGCTTATACAGTACATCTAATTTATAACTATATTATGTGTGTATCAGCTGACATTAACACACTTACAATTTAATTTACTGGAAGAAACAGCCCTTGCCGTGTTTGTCACATCGGAAGTGTGTTATTTAACACTAAATGAGATAATGAGTTTGTGGTTGAGCTGCTGTTACAACTGTCATGTAGGCTATTTACTGGTTTTTGACGTCTAGTAGCATGTTCAGTGTCATGTCATTAGGCTATTGGCATACTCTCTCCTCTCTGCCTGCCAGTCACTAGTCCACTGCAGCAGAACTAGGTAAGATGCCTGCAATTGCTAGGGCATGTTGTTTCTTTGGTATTTTGGTTGGTATAGGCCTAGCATAGCACACATATCATATGTGTTTCTCTACTGGTTTTAGGAGGCTTTTCTACGTGGAAGCGAATATAACATTTTACAGTGCAACAGCATGAGTTTTCTCTTTGCCTGTGTTGTCTTTATTATACAAAATAATGCTCAGCAAATATTTTCTGCATTTAAGGAATGGTGGCTGTTGTTCACTGCTACCCAGTGTTGTGCGAGGAGCCACAGATTTTGATAACATACCAGATCATAGACTTACGTCAATTCATGAGTTTGTCTGAGAGTCATTTGCAAAGTTGTAAAGGATGCTGCTCTCATAAATGATAAAACTCTTGTAGAAAATTCTGACAATGATATTAAGATGTAGATCAGGGATTCTTGAAAGTCGGGACAATCGTTGTCTGGCAGGGACATTTTATTTTTATAGTTGGAAATTTTTATTTTGTTGCATTAATTTAGCTTAAGAAATTACATTTAGGGGAATTTTGTAAGTGGAAAGAATAGCTTTTGGAATTTTCTAAGACATTTCTATATTATTCTTTTCCATGCTCTATGCTTGGAAATGCCCTTGTCTGGAGCAAAGGATCCCAATTTCAAGCTCTCCAAAAAAGGTTGAAAATCTTACAAAAACAGGCAATGATTAATATTAACTGAAAAATGATCTCATGCAGTCTTGAAATAGCCCTCTTTGAATATTTCTCTCAAAACTGTAATTCCCCCAAAAATTGTCTGGAGATTTGGTCAACTCCATCAAATTTGTCTGAAATCCTAAATGAATCAGGAATGAGCAGGGTCAACTACTCCATATGGACCCCTTCTTCATGTCTTCATTACATGCAGTGGAACAAGACCACCATGGTCTGTAAAGGTCTCTACTTTTAAAATAATTAAACAATATTGAAATCACAATGGTCACAACCATAAACTGTCAACTCCCTGATAGATTAAAATAGGATATTAATTTAGGTTCAAATATGTTTCTTTTAAATAGGTTTTAGAGTCATAAAGCAACAGAATAAAAAAAAAAAACTTTGTACCACTTGAATGAAGAAGAAAAATTCAATATTTGTCAACTTGTAAAATATCAACTCTGTCAGATTTTCGTCTAACGTCAACATCAAGATCTCAGTGGCTTGTCACCTCCTTCACAGATGGCTAACCCCCTTATGATCGATTATTTTGTCAATATTTAGAAAAAATATTTTAATCACTGTTCTGCAACATACAGTGTCTTTGGGAAGTATTCAGACCCCTTGACTTTTTCCACATTTTGTTATGTTACAGCCTTATTTAATTTTTTTATCCTCAGCAATCTACACACAATACTCCATAATGACAAAGCGAAAACAAATTTTTTGACATTTTTGCAAATGTATTACAAATAAAAACAGAAATACCTTATTTACATAAGTATTCAGACCCTTTGCTGTGAGACTCGAAATTGAGCTCAGGTGCATCCTGTTTTCATTGATCATCCTTGAGATGTTTCTACAACTTGATTGGAGTCCACCTGTGGTAAATTCAATTGATTGGACATGATTTGGAAAGGCACACACCTGTCTATATAAGGTCCCACAGTTGACAGTACATGTCAGAGCAAAAACCAAGCTATTAGGTCGAAGGAATTGTCCATAGAGCTCCGAGACAGGATTGTGTCGAGGCACAGATATGGGGAAGGGTACCAACAAATTTCTGCAGCATTGAAGGTCCCCAAGAACACAGTGGCCTCCATCATTCTTAAATGGAAGAAGTTTGGAACTACCAAGACTGTTGGAAAAGCATTCCAGGTGAAGCTGGTTGAGAGAATGCCAAGAGTGTGCAAAGCTGGCATCAAGGCAAAGGGTGGCTATTTGAAGAATCTCAAATATAAAATATATTTTGATTTGTTGAACACGTTTTTGGTTACTACATGATTCCATATGTGTTATTTCATAGTTTTAATGTCTTCACTATTATTCTACAATGTAAAAAATAGTAAAAATTAAGAAAAACCCTTGAATGAGTAGGTGTGTCCAAACTTTTGACTGGTAGTGTATAACCATGAAACCAATATTTCGCACTTTTATTTGTTTATCTGCATTGGTTTTGGCCATACAACATGACACAGTTAATGTTTTTTGTCAAAAGTAAATAAGAATAGTAATGATGCAACACTTTTTTTTTTACGGTACATTTTCTGTGGAGAACATTGTGTACATTACATCGCAATAATGAGTGGGTTGGGTGTGTTTTTCCTTGAAGCTGATATTATAAAGAAACACTGTGGAGCAGTAACTTCCCTATTTATGTCTGAGGGAGATGGTGTGTATACTGGTGTTATAGACACTCAGGCTTGTGTGTGGTGTGAGGCTCGGCACAATTGTTGATCATCTTAAGCCTGTCGGCTCTGGCCACACTTCCTGACACAGAGTAGGCCAATCTGAAACACTGTACTAAACTTGCTTTTTAAAGCATCTGAGAAATGGAGATGATGATGTTTGATGTAATACCTTTTGACAAACGTACTGTTGAAATGTTTACAGCTTCTCTCTTGTCCAGAGGCTGCATGTTAACTGGGTCTCATCAATATACTTGGGAACGCATCCCAGCTTTAGCTGTACAGTAGGTGCAGTGAAACAAGGTATCATTTTACCCTCGGTGTCACAGACAAGGGGCCAGCAGAGAAGGTCACGGGGGAGGAAGAGAGCGAGATTAAAAGTCGGTACTGTTATCCTGGCTGGTGTGGGTCTTATTTCACCCACCGATGAGCCCATGGATTGTCAGACCAAGATCATTGCAAGACTGCCTGAATTATGCTGAGGTTGCGTCTATAATCTATGTCTATGATGTCTATCTAGTGTATGTTGTCAGATTTGGTGCCTATCAAATAAATGCTGTGTCATAGGTAACTATACTTTGTAACACACTGGGGTATTTAGTAGTTCCCAGTGCAGTTGTCTGATGATGTGACCAGGGGCATGTGCATGAAGATGGAATCCCCTCCCTCTTTCTGTTCTGACCCTGGCTGTCCCGTGTTGTCTGGAGGGGTCACAGATTTGACGGTGGGGGGGTGCGGGCAATCCCCCTGCACCAACGCCCGGACCTGCTGGAGCCCTGCGCCGACTTGGTGAACAGCGAGTGGCAGCGGAGCCGCTGTGCCCGGGTCCACACCCTCCAGAAGTCCTGCCAGGAGTTCCCCGTGGCCCTGGTGCTGCTGCAGGACTTTGGGAACGGGGACGGTGGGGACGGGGAGACACTCCTGGGGCACGTGGTGTCCCACCCCGGGAGCCTCTTTGTGGAGTCGGTGGTGGTGTCAAAGGCCCAGATGGGGAAGGGCTACGGTCGTACACTAATGCAGGAGACGGAGCGCTACGCTAAGGCCCGAGGGTTCCGGAGTCTGTCTGTCCACGCACGACAAGCAGCACTTCTATGCCCACCTGGGCTACGTGCTGTCCATGCTGGTACAGAATGCTGGTGTCATGTCCTCCTTCATGCCCATGGAGGTGCTGGAGAGGTTCTCCAAGCTCCCAGGGACAGACGACGCCCAGGGTGAGGTACAGGGAGGCCCACCACCACCATCGCCTCCCCAGATCCCTCCTTCCTTTATAGGGCCTCCTCCATCACCTCTTCCTACTCCTCCACCTCTTCCTCCCTCTGCTCTATCTCGTCATCCACTTCCCACTCCTCCCTCTATTCCTCCTCCTCCTCCTCCGCCTCCTCCTCCTCAGTGTCCGGCCCGGCTGGTGTTTCAGACTCTTGAGGAGACGCCCTACAGAGATGCTAACGGAGTTCCTATCTTCTGGATGCACAAGGACATCTGAGTCTGAGGGCCTGGCTGACCACAGACCATGTCACCCATGTCACTCAGCCTTACATACACACATGCTCAGGACATGGGGGAAAAGGACGCTGCCTTTGGCCTATTTAGTACCACAGCCTGTAGGGTTTGACAAGAGGTTGATAGACTGAGAAGGAAGGATATGTTATGGGTCTGGCTGGCTCTCCCTGAGACTTGACAGAGATACTCGGTGCTGTAGACTGAGATAACACTTGAACAAAGAATACCAAATGTTTGTGCTCATGTGCCTTAAGTGCCAAAGTTGTTTTTTCTTCTTGTCCTAAAAGAGAAAATGTATTAAATTAATGGTTAACTTTATCTGATCTAACTAAATAATTATCACTGGGGCTATATTTTGGGCCTAATGTTTCAATCATTTTGGTGTTGAAATAAAGAACTGCGTATTAAAGTGTATTGTTGTGTGTTTTCTATGGGTCAACATTTAAGATTGCACATTTTTAAATTCCTTTTCATCAAAGCATCTGTGTAGACAATCTCCAATGGTCTGGTCTTTAAAGGGATGCTACAGAGGTTTTGTATAATTTCAGCCAGTAGTTTTGAAAGTAGTGCTCGCGAGCCAAAACGGTTCACTGAAAATTGTGCACAATTGTGTAGAAGTCATCCATTTCGTATGATATGTTACATCCTGCCAAAAAAAAAAAAAAAATGCTGCAATTCATATACTTTATGTTACGAATTCCAATTTGTACAATATGTTAAGAATTTGTAAGTGCTTAAGATCCCGTTCAATCTCTTTAAATATTAACATCAGTCTAATGAGTTTAGTTTGAACATATATTTGTCTGTCTGTATGTTCTCTTTAGGCACGACAAGACATTAGGCAGTGAACAGCCATGCTGCTACACAGCTTCCCTCTCACCATCCTCCTCCTCTCCACCATCCCTGTCACTCCCCAGTGGGGGGCTGTGGGTGATGAGTCTGGAGGGTCTGTGGCTGCTGCAGGGCCAGTGGTCCAGGGCAGGCCCTTCACCATGGTCTGGAACATGCCCACAGCGAGCTGCCAGGAACGCTATGGCATCCACCTGGACCTGGGGGCCTTCGACATTGTGGAGAACCACCACCAGAGCGTCAAGGGCCAGAACATGAGCCTATTCTACCACAATCAGCTGGGGCTCTACCCTTACATCTCCCAGGAGGGTCTGCAGATCAACGGAGGTGTTCCCCAGAGGGGCGACCTGGAGGCCCACCTGGCCCTGGCCCAGACCCAGATCTCAGCCCTGCTCAGGACAGGGTTCAGCGGCCTGGCCGTCATCGACTGGGAGAAGTGGCGCCCCCTGTGGGTGAGGGACTTCGGCATTAAGCTGGAGTACCGCCGGCTGTCTAAATCACTAGTGAGACGGGAGCATCCAGCGCTAACTAAACAGGAAGTGAACTCCCTGGCCCGTAAGGAGTTTGAGAGGGGCACCAGGGCCTTCATGTCTGAGACACTGCGGTTAGGAGTGCGTCTGCGACCGAGGGGACTCTGGGGCTTCTACAGATTCCCTGAATGCTTCAACTACTACAGGAAGCAGAAAAGCTACACGGGCCACTGCCACTCCAAGACCAGGCAGAAGAATGACCAGCTAGCCTGGCTGTGGCGCCAGTCCACTGCCCTCTACCCTAGTATCTACCTACCCCAGCAGCTGGCAGGGTCCTCTGATGCCACCCTACTGGTCAGACATAGGCTCCTGGAGGCCCTTAGGGTGGCGAACCAGTACCCAACTGACACCCATGCCACTCCTGTACTGCCCTATGCCAGAGTGGCATTCGCCCACACCCTCCACTTCCTCAACAAGGTAAAGTATAACAGTAACATTGGAAAATGTTTCCCATCCCATGACTGTGTTATCCTTCAAAACATACACTAACAGTGATGCACTTATGTTATGAATATTATAAGAATTTACTATTCTTTGGGTTGATATCACTTTGTGGCATACAAGTAATCAAACTAGTCTCCCATTGATCTTGCCATACTGACAGTGACATATGAGCACACCTGGCAGGAGATGCCAGCAAGCAATGGAAAGATATTCTGTCCCTGCATTAGACTCAATCATCTCACCTCAGTTGTATGTATATTTGTATGTGGTTGATACCTGTGTGTTTGTGTGTGTGTGTGTGTGTGTGTGTGTTTTCAGACGGACCTGGAGCACACACTGGGAGAGAGTGCAGCGCTGGGGATGGCAGGAGTGGTGCTGTGGGGGGAGCAGAGGTTCACTAAGTCAAAGGTCAGATCCTGGAGACCTCACAGTTTGTGCATCTACACCCACTATAATATACATACCTCTACAACCTTGAGTGTGTATGCAGTTCAGTTTCTGTTAGATTGTTTGTTTTTGTTCCGTATTTGTAGATGAATATCTCTTTCCCTTCCTCTCTTGGCAGCGTCAGTGTGAGATACTGAGGGACTACATTCATTCTGAACTGGGGGAGTACATCAGCTCCCTGAAGGGAGGGGTGCAGCGTTGCAGCGGGGAACGATGCCATGGCAACGGTCGCTGTGCCAGAAGGGACCCCTACTCTGACCACATGATCCCCCTCTCTGACCCTTTCTCCAACTTCCTCCCTGACCCATCTCATGACCTCAGCCACCTCCGCACTAACTTCCTGTGCCAGTGCTATCAGGGCTGGGAGGGTGAGGAGTGTCAGGAAAGGATATCTTCAATCACTAACACTTAGGTGAGCAGTGTCAGGAAAGTATATAGTCTCTATCACCAATATATAATATCACCTCTTTTGTTTATTTGGTTGCATACAGTAGCATCATTGCAATTCCACCAAGTGTATCAAAGTGAAAACAGTGGCAGTTGCCATGCTAAGGCACTTTCTCAGCATATTAATTCTATACAATTCAGTTCCACTTGTGACATGTTTAAGTCGGGATATTTCCCAAATCTGCACTGTGTTTTGTCAGTAACAAAATGGGTGTGACATTTCATCATACATTGCCTGTCACATGCATACATGTAAAAGAGTACCACTTCTAAAAGTTACAGCTGTAACTTTTGTGTACAGTATGTGTAAGTCGCAGATCACATGGACGTCTCGAACCTGTACCATTTCTGTGTCTTCATGCAGTTGTTCGAATACATTAATTGTCAGTTCAAGAGTGTGGTCCTTTGTGCTGTGATGTCACTAAAGATGCTATAAAGTGTTCAGTACCCTGCAATCTTAGTGAATGAGTCTCTTTCTTTGTCCTATTTGTTTAGCAAATCAAACAACTCATAAATATACAGTACAGTATATGGAAACATTCTCTGTGGGTTCCAACACCCGGGCTCTGTTGTACATATGGCAGTAGGGGTTGTTTCTGGATGGGCCCAAGTTCCAATACAATGTGCAGGGCAGGGATTTGACTTGAGTGGAGATGTTGGGGCAGATAGTTAACAGTTGGTGTTACATTAGTGTCCAGGGGCTTTCAGGGTCTAGGGGTGAAGGGTGTTCCTCTCCGTGACATCTGATCCTCAGGATCCTCCCGTGATGGCTGTGAGGTTATGGCGCAGCGCCTGCAGCTCCTGGATGAGCTGGGAGACCTCTAGGGCCGCAGCCTGTCTATCCCTCCCTGCTTCAGTCAGGGACCGGAGAGCGCTACCCTGCTGCACTGGAGAGGGAACGCAGAAACACAGTCACAGAAAGGGATGGGCAAAATGTTGAGGCCTAGTTGGATTTCAGATCAAGATTGAGAAAGAGTAAGTGAATATCTTTACCTAAGAAATAGAAGATAAGAAGTAGCGTCAACAGCGTCAGTGTTATCACTGCACACCCCATGGTGTATCGAAACGAGGCGGGCATCAACAGGTCTCGGAGTGCGCTCTGCAATCGGCTTCTCATTGGATGCCCTGTCTGACAGACAACCGGTCTGTCCCTGAGATGGAGGTTCCCATTGGTGGAGGGAGCAGGAGGAAGGGGAGGTCGTCTGCTGCCTATAGAGACCATAGAGACAGTGGAGATTCTAGCGACTAAAGGTAATGGGGAGTAATGAGCATCACATTTCAATGGTAGCTTTGGATGCAATCACTATACACAATACAGCCTGGCAATGTCTGGAACCTTTGTGGTTGTGCTCTGGGTGGGTGCGGTGCAGGTCGTTGATGGACTCCACGGAATGTAGCTCGATCTCAGTTAGATCCCGATCACTGATCCGAGTAAAAAATACTGGAGTGGTAGGGGATGGAGGGTGTTTCGCCATAATCCCTGGAGGGAAAGAGAGAGAGAGAGGATACCAGGTTTCTAAATCCTATTACTGATAATCCAAATAAAACTTGGAATTTGGACTCAGGACCAGGGGAGAGGTGATTGAGAACAGGCCCTTTGTCTAGGCCCTTTGTCTGACTGGGAATGTTTCCACAAGTCTAGCCAAAATGAGAAGCCATTTCAGTCATGCAGCTTAGTTGATATAAAAAAGAATGTACTGTACAGCAATGCTATAAGCACACTAAGTTGGTATATTGGCATGGTGGCATTGACAGGCAGGCGCTATTATTTCGATGATATAAGGGAGACATGATTTAGTCCTACTCTCACACACACAAAAACACACGCATGAATAATCAAACCAGACACATTCACCTCATTTTCTATTCAGGGCTTCACCCAAAAACTTTAGGGACACAATATCCATGAGTTTTCTCCACACAATCTATCAAGTGTCCAGATAGTGCCATTCACCAAATCAGCCACATTGAATTCGTCCCTCTCTCTGCTCTTACCTTCTGTTAACATGAAACAGAGGAGAAAGATACACGTACAGTATGTGTATCTGAGGAGAATTCACGTACAGTATGTCTCTGTGTGTGTCTCCTCAAGAAAAGAAAGCTGCTGTCAATACGTTCTCAATACGTGTTGTCAACAACAAATGATGGAAAGGTTATCCAGTGTCATAGGATCAAACAAAATATACATCCACAACTGTATTAGTTAGCCTTCTGAATATAGTCCAGGTTGAATAAATGCCTTAACACACGGAAGCAAGTCCAGACCCAGTGTTTTGTGTCTGTGTCTCTGTGCCCCTGAGCCCTGCCCTGCTCCCTGCTCCCTGCTGCTTGCCCCTACCCTAACAGCCCCTACCCTAAAATAGAAGCTGGGACGAGGGTGGTATTAATAGCTGCTACTGGGCCACAGGATCATTCAATTATCCAACAGAGGCAGAGGAGGTACAGTAAGCAACAGGACCCAGAGCAAAGTGGAAGATCCCAGAGTAAAATTTTAAAAAAATACTGTTTTTTAGTGTGTTAATATGTTATTAATATACAACAAGTGATCTAATAACAGTGTAAAGATAACAGTTGATTTATTCATTGTTAGACACAGCAGGCTATACATCATGTAGGTGAAGTGAATAAGAACACCGCTACTGGTTTCCTGAGATGTAGCCACTGTCATCCCAGATCCAGAAATTCCTTGGATTTTCTGGGTCAGTGGTAATGACATTTCTTCTTGACATTATGTTATGGTGCTGAGAGTTGTGAATTTCCACTCAGTCAGACTGTCACATAGCGAGACTTCAGTGGACTATCTGTGCCATGAATGTCCTAACCTCCTGACAGAGATTGTTGTGTTTTGAAAGTGTACTCTCACAGTAGGCATATGGACATTTTCAAATATAGGTAATGACAATAAGACATGTCACAGAGCAATTGTGTGAACATTTTGCCTATGTTATTACATCATTACTACAATCATAAACACTTGCAGTAGGCTATGCATAATATTTATGTATAGAAATAAATAAAAAATAAAGAATGAAAGAAAGATAGAAAAAAGTGTAAAAACAAGTAGTTGAGAATATATGTATTTGTTCATATGATAGCAACATTTAGTATTGATACAGAACATGTGCAACAAACAGGCCTGCCTGTGTAGTGAGTTTTTCTCCAAATGTTTGAAGAATGTGTAATTTAATCAACTACATTTCCCGAAATACATTGCTCTGGCCAGGGTCGCTGTTTTTCAGAGAAAGCAGAATTCCGAGTGCAGAGTCCAAACTGTTGACGACAGCGAGGTGTTTATCTTACGTGAGCTTTTGGATCTTGTCTGCAAGGAAGATACGATGTTGGTTCGGATGCTGTCTGGTGGCCGTGGGTTCGGTTTCGGTTTCAGAGTTCCGAGGGAGTGTCTGCGGAGAGTTGGACTCGGAATAGCGGGGAGGCAGGAGAGGCATGCTTCAAGTTCAGAGGTACTGTTCCATCAACCTCCAGGGCAAACTTCTGCTGCTCACTAAAACCAACCCAAAACGTAGCAATTCTAAAGGATTTGTCCATGCAGTTGGCCTAGTGCTGGGAAATATTGAATATGCATTGTGTTTCAGATCCTTCAGAACCTAATTTTGGTTAATTTTTTCATATATGTTTTAGATGTGTTTAGTCGTCAAACCTTGTTTTTGTTCTTATTTTGATGCATAAGCTATTGCAATATGACAGAACAGTCATCATGTTTTGCTTGCCCATTTGCTCCATGTTTTTTCCCCCTCTTATTTGTGGCACACTTGGTCATGCAAATCAAATCGACATCTGTCCCAGCAGAATGCCCCCGAGCCCGCACAGATCCCTTCACTTGACTGGCTGCTGCAGATGATGATTTTATTAAAAGCATGGTAGTGGCTTCTGTCAGAGGGGTATAGATAGGCCTGCCTCTGATCCATTATCTCTAGAACTAGTCTATTGCATGAACACTATCTCCCGTTCATACTCTCTTCTCAGTTCTAGTGAGATTTCATTGAATAGTTTAGGCTGCTGAAGACTTTCTGATTTACTGTCAAATGTTGATAGAACTTAGACTACACACAGAGAGAGAGAGAGAGATTACTTTGGACTTGTTTCACAAAAATCTGTACCTGTAAGCAGGCCAATATCGGCCCCCAAAGTGCATGGCTCACTGCTCACTGATAAGAGCATGCAGTGGCTGGGTTAAAGGTCAAAAGTGACAATAGTTGTAGTAGAAGAAGTCTGCATAAAAACCTGGGTGCATTTATTACTATCGCGCACCAGACTCATACTGTACACTGCGGCTGTTGAAAGAGACTAATTTATCACCAACATTATTACTGTTATCTATTATAGGACCTGCATTTGTTATGGTTATGTCATGGTTATGATGAAAATATTAATCTTTCAAGTCAGACCTGCTGTTGTCCTCTTCACAGTAATGTGTTCTCACCTACAATGATATGACAATCAGTTGTATGAATCAGTTACATGAATTACATGAACTTCCATGACCTTACTAGCCTGGTCCCAGATCTGTTTGTGCTTTTGTCTACTCCATTATCATTGGCATGACAATTCCATAAGAAGTTGGCAGGAGAGCAGAAACAGACTGGCAACCAGGCTATGACTTTACATTACTGATAACATTACAGTAATGACAGTACAGCAGTGTGGCAGCATATGTTACAACAATAATGACAGAGTGTTTTCTTTCTGAGCCAGGCCTCGATGAGGAAGACAGCTCTGTTTGACTTCCATCGGGACCAGGGAGGTAAGATGGTGGAGTTTGCTGGATGGAGCATGCCTGTCCAGTACAAAGACAGCCACATCCACTCCCACATGCACACTCGCCAGCACTGCTCCATCTTCGACGTCAGCCACATGTTACAGGTGAGAGGGATTTCATTTAGCAAATTTGCATGGGTAGATATTGTGTGCTCATTGTATTGGCTATAGCATCCATTTTGTGTTTCTCAAACAGAGCAAAGTCCACGGAAGAGACAGAGTTAAGTTTATAGAGTCTATGATCGTTGGAGACATAGCAGAGCTGAAGGACAACCAGGTGAGACAAATGCCTGCAGAAAGACACACAAGCACATACACTTAATTCTCCCACACAGCGACACACTCTTCTCACACTTTTATCTCCAGGGCACGCTCACCCTCTTCACCAATGACAAGGGAGGAATAAATGATGATCTCATCGTCACCAAGACAGACCAAGGCTACCTCTACGTGGTGTCCAATGCTGGCTGTGCAGACAAGGACTCCGCCAACATGAAGGTCAGTAGTCCACAAACATCTTGTCTGCGACAACCATCACTCCAAGTTTTGGATGGATTTGTAATGCTTTAATAAAATGTAATTTCTGTTTCTTATTTCTGATCCTTTCTGTGTTAATGTAGGCTAGACTAGCCGAGTTCAAAGCTGCTGGTCATGATGTGGAGCTGGAGTTTCTGGAGGAATGTTTGATTGCCGTTCAAGGTAAGTTATCTTATGGCAACGTCCGTTCTACTCGATATATATAGATTTCTGGTCGTTCCACAATGTTGTGCCCTCCTGAATATGGCCCTGTGTTAAAGTAGTGTGTGACCTGGGTCGTATTCTTTAGGTACCCAACAGAAGAAAACGGACTGAAACGGGGAGGAACTACCATAAGATATTTTAGTTTGCCGTTGCAAATCATTTCGCTACGATGTGTACTAAAGAATATGACCCTGTACATGTCCTCCTCAGGTCCCTCCATGGCCAAGGTACTCCAGCCGGGACTGACAGATGACCTCAGCAAGTTGACCTTTATGACCAGCACCCTGGCCACTGTGTTTGGGATCCAGGGCTGCAGGGTGACCCGCTGTGGCTACACCGGAGAAGACGGAGTGGAGGTGTGTCTCTCATTCTCTCTTTCTTAGTATTTCAGTAGAGATGGATGTTTTTGTGTGCTCTGTGCATTTCTTTCAAGAACCCTTTGTCTGAAAGCAATTGGCATTTGTAAGAAAATAATGTGTTTCCTTCCTTGTGTTGCAAAATTGTATTAGTCATTTCCTCCTCATCCTCCCGTTCAGATCTCAGTGCCTAAATCTGGTGTGGTGGCCCTGACGGAGCGCCTGTTGGCCAACAGTGAGGTCAAGCTGGCCGGACTGGGGGCGCGAGACAGTCTGAGGCTGGAGGCAGGCCTCTGTCTCTATGGTAATGACATCGATGAGACCACTACCCCTGTGGAGGCAACACTGGTGTGGACCATAGGTAACTCCTCATTATTATACACTCCCTTATAGTGTGTGTGTGTCTCTGTCTGTCGGTCTGTCTGTGTCTCTGTGTGTGTTAATTGGGTTGTTTGATGGACTTACAGGAAAGCGTCGTCGTCAGGCGAAGGATTTCCCCGGTGCGGAGATCATTGTCCCCCAGATAAAGGCAAAGACGACGAGGAAGCGTGTGGGCCTGGTGTCCACGGGACCCCCTGTCAGACAGCACACCCCCATTCTCAGCCCAGAGAGAAAGGTCATAGGTCAGTTAGAGGATCTCTACTCGCTATTACAAGATACAAGATCTGAATAATCATATGTAAAAGTTTGATTATGCCTACTTAGGATCAGGATACCACACCTGATGATTTTCTGTTATTGTTTGTCTTTGTTAGTAGGCCTATACTGTAGTGTTATTTATGCCCAACTGTGACACTGTTCCATTTAAATTTAGCTGTGTGTGGATTGCTGTTGAGATTAGATTCAACTTTCTTTTCATCTGTTTTTTTTTCTTTTTCAGGTGAGGTCACCAGTGGTTGCCCCTCCCCCTGCCTGAAGCAGAACGTTGCCATGGGTTACGTGGATGCGGCGTACGCCAAGAATGGAACTCCCATTCAGGTGGAGGTGAGGAAGAAGGCAGTGAAGGCAGTGGTCACCAAGATGCCCTTCGTGCCTACAAACTACTACTCTGGCCATTAGATCTGTCCCTCAATGGACACCTGGCTTATGAGATCAGCCTGCGGACAGTACCCTGACCAGACAGACTGCCTCCTACTGACCACCAGAGATCAGTCTATCAGAGCAAATGCTGCCGCCTTGTGTTTACCTTGAGCAGTGACACTCAAACCTGAAGGACTGCAAGGCTTTCTTTAGCAATAGAGAATGGGTAATGAGAGTGTGTGTCCTTGCCTACACCCACAACTCCACTTAACTACACAAATACAGCTACACTCTTGAGGATGAGGCTTTTCACTCCTGTTATCTGAAGCTTGTTGATGGTCTTTAGACCACAGTGAGTTGTGTGAATGAGCCATATGGTTTGAAGGACAAGGATATCACTGACTCACTGACCAGTCAGCAAAAGCAGCAACACATGCTATGTAAACCAAGAGACACAGCAGCAAGTCATGTGTACAGGACTACTGAGCAAAATGTTTTCTCCTGTCTTACATTCTAATAGTATGAGTATGAATCTAAACTTGCATTTTACAGGCTAAGTGGCACAATGACATGTGTTAATGTTTACTAATTGCTAATTTAATACTATATATCAGCAGGAACAAACAACTCTCCATATGATTCCAAATTGCTTTTGTGATACTTTGTCTTTAGGCTTGTACCACGATCCTAGTTGTCACATTCCCAACAAACTAAAACTGAACAATAAATGCAGTAATGTGTGGCCAAAATGCAATACCTTGCTTACAAGAAAGCTTGAGAAACTAGAAATGTAACTACTGTAAAGTATCTTAGAGGGGTTCATGGTCTTGCATCTCCCCTCTAGTATTGAAATATTGTCTCAATGTTTTTGATATTCACGTTTGTTCATGTGAATTCCTTAATTTGTATAGCTAGGTAATGATGTAGTTTGTATTTAATACCCTCATATTTTCCTTGTAATATAGGTTGTAATTCACATATAATTAAATATTAGAACTCAGTGTAATTCAAATATATTATACCTTTCTCATTGTTGTGGAAAGCCCTCACTTTGGAGAATTGTCATTGCAATTTGGAAGTCACATGACTCCACTACATCTAAGTTAAACATCTGTCACTAATGTTGTTTGACAATTGCCAAAATGTATGGACTACTGTATTTACTGCTGATTAATGCATGAATCAATTGAAATTGATTAATGCCCTGTGTGTTGTCTTTCTAACATTCAAGATTTTGTTGTTTGCAAATTATTAAACACGATTTTCCCATTATTTGGTTATTTTATCATGTATCTTATTTGTGTACTGTGTGGACAATTAATTGGATATCTAAAATCATTAGAAGCATAATTATTGCTACTTTAAAACTGCTATCATTGTTATTCCCATTCCTCCCCACAACTCCAGACATACCAGTTAAGATGGTGCCGATGGAGATGGTCGACATCTTACGTGCTCCAACCCGACTTTACTATTTTGTGACTTTATTAGTGTTTATCCTTACTTTTTTGGTACAGAAAGCTCACACCATTATCACCTATGACAGCCAAATACTTTTGAACTACTAATCACAGCTACTAACCTCGACTTCATCCTTGATTTCGGCTCCTACTTCTAATACGATTAAGCTGTTCCCTTGTTTACACCGGACCCTACTCCATTGTTCGGGCTACCCAAGCACTGCAAGCGAAGACGCGGGAGGAGGGCTGGAGTCCTTGTTAGACAGATGCAGAGAAAATTGTCCGGCACTCCTCTCCGTTTTATTGGCAAATGTCCAGTTACTTGAGAACAAGATGGCATGTGAAAAGCTGTAATATTCTATGCTTTTTAGTAACTTGGTTGATGGGCGATATGGACATAAAACTGGAGGGTTTTTCCATGCTTCGTCGCAACCGGACAGCAGACTCTGCGCTTCAAGTGTGAAGGAAGTCTCAAGCTTTTGCTCACCTGAACTAGAATACCTCATGTTAAATTGCAGACCTTTTTATCTACCAAGAGAGTTTATCTGTAATCATCACTGCTGTCTACATCCCACCACAAACGAGAATGGCACTAAGCAAGCACTCAACGAGCTGTACAGGGCCATAAACAAACAAGAAAACGCTCACCCAGATGCAGCGTTTCTAGTGGACAGAGACTTTAACGCTGGGAGACTAAAATGTGTTTTACCCCACTTTTACCAACACGTCTACCCACAGAAATGCATACAAGGTCCTCCCTTGCCCTCCCTTCGGCAAATCAGACCATGACTCCATCCTCCTGCTTCCTGTTTACAATCAAAAACTCTAACAGGAAGTACCAGTGACGTGCTCAGTACAGAAGTGGTCCGACAAAGCAGATGCTAAGTTACAAGATTGCTTCGCTAGCACAGACTGGAATTCATCCGATTCATCTGATAACATTGAGGAGTTTACCACATCAGTCACGGGCTTCATCAATTAGTGCATCGACGATGTTGTCCCCACAGTGACCGTACATACGTTAACCAAAATCTATGGATTACAGGCAATATGAGCGCTGGGCTAAAGGCTAGAGCTACCGCTTTCAAGGAACGAGACACGGACAAAGTCTGTTACGACCTCCGATAAGCCATCAAACATGGAAAAGGTCAATATAGGACTAAGATAGAATCCTACCTCACCGGCTCAGACTCTTGTCGAATGTGGCAGGATTTGCAGTCTATTACGGATTACAAAGGGAAACTCCGTGAATTGCCCAGTGACGCAAACCTCTCAGATGAGCTGAATGCCTTCTATTCTCGCTTCAAGGCAAACAACACTGAACCAGGCATGAGAGCCCATGCTGTCCCGGATGACTGTGTGATCTCGCTCTCCGTGGCCAATATGAGTAAAATTTTAAACAGGTTAACACTTGCAAGGCTGCTGGGCCAGACAAATATCAGAGCGTGTTCTCAGAGCATGCGCAGAGCAGCTGGCAAGTGTCTTCATTTTCAACATCTCCTTGTCCCAGTCTGTAATCCCAACATGTTTCAAGCAGACCACCATTGGCCTGTTTCTAAGAACTCAAAGGTAACCTGCCTAAATGACTATCGTCCCGTAGCACTCACATCTGTAACCATGAAATATTTGAAAGGCTGGTCATGGCACACATCAACACCATCATCTCAGACACCCTGGACCCACTCCAATTCCCATGGCGGCCCAACAGATCCATAAATGACGCAATCTCTATTGCACTCCACACTGCTCTCTCCAACCTGGACAAGAGGAATACCTATGTGAGAATGCTGTTTATTGACTACAGCTCAGCGTTCAACACCATAGTCAATCCAAGCTCATCACCAAGCTCCGGACATGGGACTGAACACCTCCCTCTGCAACTAGGTCCTGGACTTTCTGATGGGCCGCCCCCCACGTGGTGAGGGTAGGTTACAACACATCTGCCACACTGACCCTCAACACCTTCAGGCATTTGGCATGGGCCCTCAGATCCCCAAAACATTCCACAGCTGCACCATTATGAGCATCTTCACTTGCTGCATCACCGCTTGGTACGGCAACAGCAAGGCAACTGACCGCAAGGAGCTACAGAGGGTGGTGTGCACGACCCAGTATATCACTGTGGCCCAGCTCCCTGCCATACCTGGCGGTGTCAGAGAAAGGCCAAAAAAAATGATCAAAGACTCCAGCCACCCAAGCCATAGACTGTTCTCTCCGCTACCGCAGGGCACGCAGTACCAGTGCACCAAGCCTGGAACCAACAGGACCCTGAACAGCTTCTACCACCAAGCCATAAGACTGCTAAACAAGACTGCTAAATAGCTAATCAAATGGCTACCCGGACTACTTGCATTGACCCTTTTCTAAACTAACTCTCTTGCACTGACTCTACCCACAGTACTTACACTGACACCCCAACACACACATAACATGCACACACATGCATACTGACACCACACTCACACTTTCACACTCACCACATGCGCAGCTGCTACAGCTCAGTCTATTATCTATCTTGTTGCCAATATATACATAGCTAGCTCAATTACCTCATACCCCTGCAAATCGACTTGGTATGGTACTCCCTATATATTACCATGTTATTCGTTATTCACTGTGTATTTATTCCTTGTGTCACTATTTCTATTTTATCTTTGTATCTTTATCTTGAACTCTGCATTGTTGGAAAAGGATCCGTAAGTAAGCATTTCCCTGTTAGTTTACACCTGTTGTTTACGAAGCATGTGAAAAATAAAATTTGAATTGACTAGTTTTCTTAATTTTTAACTCTGCATCGTTGGAAAAGGGCTTGTTAGAAATTGCGTAATTCAAATCTGGTATTGGAATAAGAATCAAGAGATCTTCAATCCAAGCTAAATTTATTATATGCAAAATGTATGTATGATATGTATGAAGGTTCGTATATACGGGTCCACTGAAATACCACGCAGGGCACTCAGAGAACTAATCCATTGTTACAGGTTCTTCTTCAAATACTCTGACAGTTTTTAGTTCCCGCTCTCTGCTGGGCCTATCAGGGTAGAGGTTGGGCGTGGTTTAGACTTGCCCAACCTATCCGTTGGCGCACCGGCTGGTCCCAGCCCCTTGGCGCATCCCTGTTACCAGGCATAAGTTTTTATCATAACAACCTGTAGAGTCAGCACTTTTTGCAGTACCCATGTCCTTGGACGGTTCACAGATCACAAAGAAGCAGTGTTCGTATCTGTGAGAAATACAAGTCTTATCTATAAGAAATACAAGTTTTATCTCATTCTAGCCCCTAACGTTCCTCACATGAATCACAGCCTGTTATGTGAAACAATTCATATCAGTACAGTATAAACCTTTTATGCTTTAATCATTAATGCATTCTTTCTAAGTTAGTCATCCCATCCATTTATGAGAATAAGAAATCCCCACAGGCTCATAAATAAGCATTTCACGTGAACGTTGTATTTTGCGCATGTGACAAATACAATTGATTCGTTTTGTGGGTACTGTAGATTAGTCGAAGACAATTCATACTTTGGGCACTCGATTGAGAATCATCATATGACTACAACACCCAGCTTCGCCTAATATATCTAATAAGAGGTGGCGCCTGCCGGGTCTGAAAGCAGTTACCACTTACATTTTAATCATTTAGCAGACGCTCTTATCCAGGGCGACTTACAGGAGCAATTAGGGTTAAGTGCCTTGCTCAAGGGCACATCGACAGATTTTTCACCTAGTCGGCTCGGGGATTAGAATCAGCGACCTTTCGGTTACTGGCACAACGCTCTTAACCACTAAACTACCTGCCGCCCCAGGAGAAGATGGTGGAATTGTGAAAAACAGAAATGTCAGGTTGAAGATTATTGTGGATAAGGCAACAGAGTTATTAGGGGTAAAAGTAGATGTTACTGTCGACATGATTTTTGAAATGCTCCTTAATCTTAAAGATAGATTGTCTGAGCATGATCGAGAAAGTTTGAAGAGGGATGGGGTTTTTTGGGGAGGGTTTGTTAAAAGTTTGTTTGTGTATTCGTTTTTTCTTAGTAGTGCAGAATTAGGCAAATCACGATTGATCGCACACTCCAGCGCAATAGGCGATATGCACAGGCGAGCATGACATATTTCCGGTTAAATCTCAGGATGGATGTAAACTTCCGGTTATCGTAGAATGCTGTGCTACCGTATGCTAGCATTGAATGCTTGTCGTCTGTAGCTCAGCTGGTAGAGCACGGCGCTTGTAACGCCAAGGTAGTGGGTTCGATCCCCGGGACCACACATACACAAAAATGTATGCACGCATGACTGTAAGTCGCTTTGGATAAAAGCGTCTGCTAAATGGCATATTATTATTATTATTAAAAACATCCGAAACGGTTAATTTTCGTCGTTGTTGTTGTTTATCTTAATGTTTATGTTAATGTTTTTACTTGTAATACTTCGTCTTGACTTATAACATGATGACGTGTAAACGTACGAAAGTACAGGAGGGACGACAGACATGCCACATAATGGGCAGTCTGATATAGTAATGCAACCAAATGATTGCATATCCCACACCCAGCCACACAGGAACAGTAGCTTTTAACAAGCACAACTGGCTGTGAATCACGCAATGTAATCTGAAATACACAGAAGCATAATTTAATGGGTTTTGAAAGACGAGGGTCTACAGCAGCAGGAGCAAAACTTGTTATTTCTACTTTTTACTGGTGTAAGCAACTTATCTACTGTCTCGTGTCACTTTTGTGCTTTCTGCATCACTTTCCTACTGTCTTGCACCACTTGGCTATACTGTCTCCCACCACTTACCTATTG